CGACTGGGAGGGGAGCCAAGGACCTGATGCCCATACATACCTTGAGGTTGGACACCCGCGGCCCACAAACTCTTACATACCTTTCTGACCTTCGGCCCCAGACGTCGTAGTCGGAGTACTCGTGCCCGTCGTCGTTCAGCAGCTCTCTTCCTCTGGTTGACCTTCTTGTAAACTCTGGATCTGCCCGCACTGGCATCTATGCCTGAGTCCGTGGCCGATGCCTTATAACTGACAGGGATGCCCATGCCATGGAGCTCTCGAGCAACCTGCTGACCCAACTTCTTCGACGACGCGATGATATCCGTCTTGTCTGAAACCACTTAATCTTGCTTCCCCAAACGCTTCCTTGAACTCCTTGCCTGTCTTGGACATGGTGCGAAGAACCCGCTGTGGATCATCGTCTTCATCGGCCCAGGAACCACTTTGTGCACCTTTTCCAATATGGGATGCAGAAATGCCTTCGCAAGCTGGGCTCCTTTGGGGCTGCCTGCCACAAGCGAGCGAGAGGCGTATGCAATATCACTGGCCCAATCCTTTAGCTTGAGAAAACGCGGAGCAATGCACATTTCAACTTCTAACATGACTATGATAGCTGGATACCCGACATTCACTGCCGTGGACATAAGTCTGCACAACGATACGCTGCCATAAAACTTTTCCAGATCCGAAAGCAAAATGACATAGTGATTGCCGTTGACAAAGCCGACCTCATCCATGAGGGAGCGAACTATGGCTGCCCGCAGGGCAGAGGAGCCCTGGAGCGCCGCATCCCAGAACGCGCTTCGGCTTTGAGACCATTCAGAAGCAGGCCCCGTTCTAGCTTGGCTCTATAGTTTGCCCGTCGCCGGTGAGAGCCCCAGCGCTCGGTCCCCCCCTCCCGGTTTGGCTGCCAACGCTCCAATTGTCGCATGTATTTGCCGCGGCCACGTGCCCGCTCTTTCCACGTCATTTAGAAAGTCGGCGAACTTCTGTCTGCCCACAACTGGAAGCCCGGCCGCGTCATTGACGCTGAAATTATCTACTCCCTTTGCTTTCTTCGCCGACATCTTTGCCGGCGCGACGTCGAGCTCCTGAAGGGTGATGGGGGGGAGGTCCTCCTCTTGCGCCTGCTGATGGCACTCCGTCAAGCCGTGGGTGATGTCGTCCATGGTGTCGACCTGGTCCGTCCAGATCTTCTGCCAGTACTGCTGCCTGGCGTGCATGATGACCGTGGGGTCAGCAATCCCTTGTATCTCGGTAGTGTCGGCTGGTTTGTCTTTAACAGGCTTGTGCAAATCGACCAGGCTGATTCATCCAAATGCTTCTGACCCATGACAAAAACTTCTGCTGACCTTTTCCCACTGCTCTAGCTTGCGCACGCGTCGCCAACTTGTCAGTGAGATGGTATATTCGATCCATGAAGTCCATGGACGCTGGCCGAGGATACTGGTGCCCCTCAGCAGCAAGTGGATATTCATCTTCTTCTGAATGGAGGCGTTCTGACGGTAAGTTGTCCGAAGACCTCCTGCATGAACGTGGGGAAGATGGAAAGCCGGGGTCACCCTGGCGTTCTGAACGTAAGTTTCCCGACTGAATCCTGCATAATCGTGGGGGGGATGGACCGCCAGGGCCGTCCTGGCGGTCGTGCTGCTCCTCGATCTGGTCGAACGGGTCGATCTCGCAGTCGAGGTTGGTCGCCGCTCTGACTGAAGCCGTAGCTGGGGAAACTGGGCCATCCATCTGTGAAACAGCTTGGCCCTTCTGGCTGAGGATGGCCTGCAGCGCCCCTTGGTTGACCCCAAAGGGGATGTCCGTGTACGGGTAGCACTGCAACTGTGATGTTGTGCTGATGAGTTGTCGGGTGCCTGGGTCCAGATTCGACTGCGGGTGCGACGATGGAGCAGCTTGAGCGCCGAGATCCGCCTAGTGCTCGAATGAGGCTCGCCATTGCGCCTCCGAAACCCCACGAAGCAACTCAATCAGATCTTTCCACTCTGTGCGCTCAGAAGTGCCGAACTTCCCAACATAATATTCGCTGCAACCTGCTAGAATGGTATCACTCGAAGAGCCGATGCGCCTGAGGATGGTAAGCTGCTGCTCCCAATCCAATTGCATTGCGACGAACTTGCGACATCTCCCTATGAGCGTGGGCATGACAGCCCAGTGCTCCGAAGGGAGGTCCTGGATGTGCACCCTTCCTGGAGACGCACTGGAACATTTCCAAACGAGCTCGAAACCATTCCCGCGGCCCCTGGCCTGCCCCTCCCCCTTGCCCTTCTCCTGGGGCAAAACGTTCTCCTCCAAAGCAGAAGCCCACAAGCCGCATTGATCATCTATTTGGGTCTGGGCTTCCGCGCGGCGCAACATGGGTGTTTCGGGGGTCGGGGAGCTGGAGAGGTCCAGGCCCTTTGACAATATACTTCTGGCTTTCTTCCACCCGATGTCCCACTCCTCCTCCTGAATGTGGAAACCTACGACCTCCTTCACCCCCTGGTCCTCCATCTCCTGCATCATCTCGATCGTGGGGCCCTGGAGCGCCTGGGGTAAGTTAGCAACTCTCTGAGCCTCCTCCTTCTTCTTTTTAGCCAGACGCCTGCTGCTGCTGGAGGCTTCCACCTCGGGCTTGTCATAGTGAGGGAGGGGCGCGACGAGCGAGAGAGAACGATGCCACCATTTCTGAGATACACCTTTGAGCCGAACTTCAACATCTTTGATGGCCACTCCAGCTTGAGTAGCTCGCGAGGTGACATGCTCCTATCAGCGACCACGACCCATGGGTCCGTAGTCATGTGGAGGAAGCCTGCTAACGCTTTCATGGTGTCCTCATTCTTCCTCTGGGCGCCCACGCCTGGTAACATATATGCAGAGGCAGTGAGAACATTTCCCGATTGCATGTGCCACACGAACGGCGCAAACCCACGGAACGGGCCCTTCTTGCCGCTGTCGATGCACTCCTTTCTGAGACCGCCCAGCGTCGCGGTAGCATCACGCGACCTCGCCAGAACCCATTCGCCTGCTGAGAACCCTGCATTCTTCCTGAACGCTGGCGTCGCCGACAACTTCCAGCCATCCTTCCGAAGCAAATCTTTTTCATCTGCGAGTCCCGTTTCATCAACATGAGGTCTCCGAGAACGCGAGGACCTCGTAGTGAGATTTAGCCTTGTGAACGTAGCGGGCCGCCTGAGGACCCCAGTGTGATATTGCCGAACAGGAAGAACCCATCAAGAACAATTTGCCCCTCTGACGCCCCCACCAGCATCAATAGTACCACGCTCAGGAGACATCTTCTCACGCATGGCCTTGGCATCTGCATATGACGTGGGGGTTCCTCCAGCGCTGAGCCGCGCCGCTGACAAGGAGGCTTGAGCAACTGCCTCCGATCCTTGCTTCGCCTCCTCCTCCCTGAGAGCTTGGGAAGGAGACTTGGCGTCGGCGGGCGTGGCTGGGGGTGACTCAGGCCTGCCCCCCCCCCCCACCTGCTGGTCTACCTTCTCCTGTTTCAGCTTTCCGCTTTTCGTTCGCAGGGGCTTCGATCGTCCGCTTGATGTCCTGCATGATGGCCTCGAACCTCTGTTGCCCCTCAAGAAGCTCCTGACGGTGCCTCTCCATCTCTGCTTTCCACTGGAGAATGGACTCTTTGGCATTGTCCTCGTACTGGTCGAGATCAGCGAACAAGGACTCGTCAACGGCGAAGAGCACCGTATGTCCGTCTGGCGCGGTGGCCGTCTGGAAGGGGCCATCCTTGCGCTTGAGGTTGGTGTGCTCCTTCGTCGCCTCATCGCACTCCTTCTCTGCCAGGAAGACGATCTTTCTTTGTTCCGTGTGCTCCTCGAGGCACTCATCCAAGTGCTTCTGGGCCGCAACCATCTTGTTGGCGAGGCGTTGTAGCTTCTTTGTCTGTTGCTCCTTCTCGTTGTCCGCGCGCAGCATCCGCTGCTTGGCCGCATTCGGGTTGCTGGCCAACTTCGTCTTCTGCTCCTGCTGCTCCTTCTCAATCTCGTCCTGGAGGGCCTTGGCCGCTGGTGATCCACGAAGCGAGGGCGGCAACTGGTCGAGCAGCGCGAGCGTGGATGTGGATGGAGGGGACGAAACGCCTCTGTCCACCGCCCACGGGGCCTTAGTAGCATTGCCCGTGCCACCCGAGCCCGACCCCTTTCCACCAGGGGCGAATATGTCGAGCGCCTTTTTGCAGAAGACATACTTGTAGTTGTTCTCGATGATACGCCAGTTGTAACTCCATTGACCGCATGGGCACCATGCGAATTTCTGCCCATACTTCTTGACCATCTCGCTGCGGATGGGACACTGGCGCGGGCTAGCGGTGGCTCTTGGATCCAGACCTGGGCGAACAGGCCCAACTCTTGATTGCTGCCGCGGACTAGCGGTATCCAGTCTTGCCACTGCGGGCTCAGCCCGCCAAAGCATCAGTCTTGAGCCAAAATGGCTACGGAGGAGGAGGAGGAGGGAGGACGAGGAGGAGGAGGAGGAGGACATGCTCTTCCACCGCGGGCGGGCGCTCCGCGGAGGGGGCCCCGCGGCGCGCCGCACGCGGAGGCCCCTCCGCACCCCTGCTCTGCCACCTTCCCCCCGCCTCCCCCCCCCCCCCCTGCGAGGCGTGGCTCTACCCATATCCACCGCCCGGGAACCGACGCACTGAGGGGGGCAATGACCGGAGGGTTCCAAAAGGGGTTTTTGGGGAGGGGGCTTTCCGGAGGGGTCCCCTTGGGGCTTCGCACCATCTATTTTGACGACGTTCGAAGGCCCCTGGGGGGCTCTGTGGAAAACCGATGCATCCCGCCCTATGCCTATCCCCCCCTATCGTTGCCCCTGAGTCCTGGTGCCCCGGCGGGCGGTTGGTAATCATGGATACATTTTGACCCCCGGCGGCCCGGGGGCCCGAATCTGTCCAGATCCACCGCCTGTGTGGAGATCCGAGGAGATCGACCCCCCAGGCGGTGGTCATGGATAAATTTCCGCCTCGGACCCCCGCCCCCAGGGGCGCCGCAAGCGCAGCCGCGGTCCTCTCCGTCACGCGCTCGCGGTAGCGCCGGTGGGAGTGGCGACCGAAGCCCCCGGTCTCCAGGCCCTGGCGGGCTCGTCGGGTGGTCGCCGAGGGAGCCAACATCTGAGGCGACATGGCTTCTTCAGTCTGGTGAGCGTTTTCTTACTCGGCCTTTCGACATTGGGCGGAAGGGGGATGGAGAGGGGGCGGGGTTCTGGCTCTGGACCTCTGCTTCATGCGACTGTTTGCAACACCGCGTCCTGTGGGGGAAGCACTCCAACTGCTCGAAACAGGCGCCCCAAACAGCCAAGATCCCATCACCCCATGCGGGGGGGGATGAGAGGGGGGGCGAGGGACCGCGCCCATCGGCAACACAACGAACAAGGAGACGACGACCTGGCCGCGCAGGCCAGCAATAGGAGGCGACGCAGCGCTGGCCCACCAGGACGAAGCACCCCCTCGGGCAGAGCGTCCTCCTTCTCCTCCTCCTCCTCCTGCTCCTCCTCCTCCTCCTCCTCCTCCTCCTCCTCCTCCTCCTCCTCCTCCTCCTCCCCTCCTCCCTCCTCCTCATCCTCCTCCTCCTCCTCCTCCTCCTCCTCCTCCTCCTCCTCCTCCTCCTCCTCCTCCTCCTCCTCCTCTCCTCCTCCTCCTCCTCCTCCTCCCACTCCTCCCCTCCTCTTCCCCCTCCTCCCCTCCTCCCCTCCTTACTCCTCCCTCTTCCCTCCTCCCTCCTCCCTCCTCCCTCCTCCTCCTCCTTCTCCTCCTCCTCATCCTCCTCCTCCTCCTCCTCCCCCTCCTCCTCCTCTTCCTGGTATTCGTCCTCACTCGTCTATCCGTCCTCTGGCCTGCGGGCCGCGGCCCCTGATCCTGGCGTCCTTCCCCTCGAGTCGGGGGCGTCGGCGCGGGGGCTTCTCGCGGGCCGTGGCCCGAGGCACGCGCGCGGGCGAGCAAGAGCCGAGGAGCCGAGTCGAAGCTAGAAAGAGGGGCCGCGAAAGCCGGAGAGACATCCTGGCCCTCGCCGTCGCATCACCTCCATCTCCTGGCCCAACCGATCCACGTCGGCACCTGGGGCCCCGCACTGCACAGGGCCCCAGGATCCTCGAACATGGATCCGTGGCGAAAGACAAGCCCCAGGGAAATGGTCGGGACATCTGTCGACAAACGCGTTCCAGTACTTGCAAACGGCCTGGATCCGCTTGGGAGAATTTACGATATAATACATAAAGGAAAACAGTTGTTTCCCAGACGATTGCGAGTAAGCACTTTGCGAGTAGTGGAACGCGCCCGGTGAATCTGGGGCCGCGCACTGGAGATATCACATCGTCGGATGCCAGGGGAGACCAGGACGAGGGGCGTTGGCGCGTCATGGACCCACGCGCGTGCGCCCATGGGGCGGGGGGGGTCACAGAACGAATAGGGAGAGGAGGAGGAGGAGGAGGAGGAGGAGGAGGAGGAGGAGGAGGAGGAGGAGGAGGAGGAGGAGGTGAACTCTGGGACATTTCATGACCTCCGCGATGCATCCACACACACACACACACCGCTAGTCTTAAGTCGGGCGTGTCCCCCTACAGGCGGATTTGGGAGGAAAAATTGAACATACCCCAGAAATACCCCCCAAATGCCCAAAAATACAAAAAAAAACTATTGTTTGACTATTTTTGAATATTCCCCCTGTAGAAGGACAGGCCCGACGTAATGCTGGTCCCGAGTCCTCCGCCTCCTTGAGCGCCCGCGACGCGCGGGAAGGTGCAGCCGCCACTGGCCGGGCTTGACTGGGCGGGCAGGGCAGACCGTGTCGTGACGACTTTCGCGGTGGCTTCTGACTTTCGCGTGGATCGTTCGGCCCTGAGCAGTCGCAGCGTTCCGATAGCACCGACGCTTCGACATCGGCCGACTCTGGGCCACATCGCTGCCATAAAACACATTCGGGTAACACTGTTGAACGCTGCCTTCGGGGGTGTGCAAGCTGCGTCCAGAAACCGCGGCCACCCAGCCTTCAGCTTCAGTTCTGCTCGCCGGTTATTTAATCGCTTCGCTCATGCCGCCGGCCCTGGAGCCCTCTTTAGGGCCTCTTGGGGGCCTCTTGGGGACCTCTTGGGAGTCTCTTGGGGCTCCTTGGCGGCGTTTTGGAGGCCCCCAGGGCCTCTTGGGGGGCTCTTGGGGGTAGTCGATTGCGGCTCCCCCCTCGGAGGCCACGATCCTCGTGAGGGGTGTCGAAAAATACCCTCCCCTGGAGTGGTCTGGTGGCTTCTCCCGGGCTTCTCTCGGGACCTTGCCGGGGTACTTTTCGTCCGGGGGGCCCCAGGGGCCGCTCCGCGCGCGCGAACTAGAAATATTGTTAACAAGTCACCGGAGATCTTAGCACGCCTCTGGCCCGTTGGGCCGGCGAATTTTCCAAGCGGCCGTTGCCGCGGTGCAGTGCGCGCCCTGAACTGGATTGAATCGAAAAACCATACCAGATCAGAAACGGGTCGCTTCGCCAACGAATCGTCCAGCATGGAATCGGAATCGGTTCGCCGCGCCAAGCTCCGGCTGGACCCCGCCGATGCTCCAAGAGGTGAGTCTGAGGGCTCTGTCATCGTCCTCGTTATCCTCCTCGTCCTCCTCGTCCTCCTCCTCCTCGTCTTCGTCCCCGTCATCGCCCTCATCGTCTTCCATGTCCTTTCCCTCCTCTTCCTCGTCGTCATGGTCGTCGTCGTCTTCCTCCTCCTCCTCCTCCTCCTCCTCCTCCTCCTCCTCCCACCCGCGCCCACCCGCGACCCATCCCGCGCCCGCCCCCTCACTCTTGTTCGCAACTGGGGGTGCTACGCAAACAAGTCAGGACGCCTCGCACCTGCCCGATCCCCCCGTCAGTGCTCCTGAGCCCTCCGAGCCGGAGTGCCAACCACATCGGATCTGGAACAGAGACGAGAAGAACGAGGAGGGGGACAAGAAGAACGAGGAGGGAGAGGACGAGAAGAACGAGGGAGACGAGACGAACGAGGAGGGGGAGGAGGAGACGAGAAGAACGAGGAGGGGGAGGAGGAGCAGGACTGGCGAGGGGGAACGGGAGAAAGGGCCAAATGCGGTCCAAATGCAGGAAAAGCGGACCCCAATGCCAGGCATCGATCGGCCGGCTGGATGGCAGAGGGGGAGCATATACCAATAAGGCATCTGTATAGGAGTGGGACAGTCGAGTCGCAGAAGAAGGATGCTTGGTACAGTGGAGGCCAGTCCACAAGAAACCTTCCACAAGAAACCGAACCCTGAAGCCCCAGGACGCCCATGGATTTTTGGTGTGGGAACGTCGCGCACACACACACACACACACACGAAGCCGCGCCTAGACGGCGTATTGGCACGGAAATACTGCGAACATGCATATGCGGGAAAACAATGAAACAGTACGTACGCAATGCAGGGGGGAAGACATGTAATCACCAGCAGTCTTTGTACTTGGTGACCCGCTGTTCGTTAGCCTTGAAGCGAAACCCAAGAAACAGGGCACCCTGAAGGCAAGCAGGGTCTCTTTGCATGGGTCCCCACTGTAAGGATGCAAGGGCCTTGGAGGGCCATGCTGGCGCTGCCGAACGTACGGCAGCCTTGTAAAAGTGATCCTCCTTACTGGGCGACTTGACTGTAGGAATCAAGTAAGACGAAACCATTGCGAGGACAGATTCGGGTGAGGATGAATCGAGAATCTCTGAGATATGGCGGCTGCGGAAGATGTCTTGGGCGCCGCGGCCTTCTCAGAGCGTTCCGGAAGGCCCTGAGAGCTTTCGGAAACGCACCGGAACGGATGTATCCACGTCCGAGCCCCACAGCACACTTCTCAGAAGGGGCGAGGGCTTCTGAAAGTCCCGCCGCCTTCCGAGAAGGCCTCTCCTTCTCACCTCCCCCCCCAGCGCGCCGCCGAACTTGCTTTGGGGGTCATAACCTCGGGTCTCTCTCGGCCGCTGGGGGCGATCCCAGCACCCCCAGAACGCTCTCGGCGAGGCGCAGCCGCTGGAACGCACCCCGAGGCTGGAAGACCGCCGAGAGCCGATGAGGGCGCCCGAAACCCTCGCACCTCGGTCCCGAACCTTCCCCCCGGACCTCTTGGGGGGCGGAAAGATACGGATACGTGTTGTCCCCGGACCTCTCTTGGGGTGCGTTCTGACCAGAATTTCGAGGCGAATCCAGCGGTGACAACGAGGATTCCCCAGGAGGGCCAGGAAAGGCCGAAAACGGAGGGGGACAACCCGTATCCGTATCTTTTACCCCCCCGAACCTCGCTCCTCCCTCTCGCTCGCCGCCGATCCCAGCCCGAGCGCGGCCGCGCAGGCGCGCGGCGCGGCGGCCGCGCGGGGCTCCTGCTGCGCGGCGCGCGCGGAGGCCTGCGGCGCTCTCGGGGGGGGTCGGGCGGCGGCGCGCGTGCCGCCGGGGGCCCCCGCGGAGGGCGGCGTGCGCGCGGGCGGGCGGCGGCGGGCCGCGGGGCGCCCGCGAGGCCCGCGAGGTGCTCGCCATCGCTCGGACGTCCATTCCCCGTGCATTCTTCGGTCTGTTCCTCGCCCTCCTCCTCCTCCTCCTCCCTCCCCCTCCTCCTCCTCCTGCTCCTCCTCCTTCTTCTCCTCCTCCTCCTCCTCCTCCTCCTCCTCCTCCTCCTCCTCCTCGCCCACTCCGCGTGCACTTTTCTCGCTTTGGTGCGCTCGTTTCTGGCGAGATGGTCCCCAGGGGCTCCTCGAGGATCCCGTCGCCGAGGAGGAAGGCACACGTCCGAGCGAGGCCCTCGAGGCACGAACAGCTCCCTGCGCGAGGCTCTTCGCCACAGTCAGCCCGTTCATCGGCGGCGCGTCAGGGTGGGAGGGGGCGGACCTTCTCAGAAGGCTCGGAAGTCTGGCCGTCTCGACTGCTCGTGGCCCGGACGTCTCGGGCGTGGCCCGAGCCGACGCAGCATCCGCGCGGCTCGAGGCACCGTCGGCCCGGAGCAACAGGATGCGCGAGGGGGGTGCGAAAAGGGCCTCGGGCGCCCATGTCGAGGCTTCGCGAGCGGGGCGCGGCCTACGGAAGGGGGCCAGGGATGGACCGAGGAGGCAAGGATGCAGGGGGCACCCTCGGGAAGGGCCCTGCGGGCTCGCGCTTGTGCCGCTCGCTTCGCGAGCCAAGCGAAAAGAGAGATCGCAGAGCAGACCCCATCGAGAGAGGTGCAGGCCGATGCGCTGCACCGCCCTATTAGCCGCAGCGAGCCCCCGAAAACACTAGTGTCGCAGCGCCTCGCGTTCCAGGCATCGAAGAGGCGCCTGGGCACCTCGCACGAGCTTGTGAACGCTGTTTTAGTCGGTGTTTCGACACTGGACGGAAGGGGGGGGGGGGAGGGGGGGGTCTGGCTCCGGACCTCTGCTTAGCGCGAGTGTTTGCAACAGTGCGTCCTATGAGGGAAGACTCCACCTGCTCGAAGCATGCGCGCAAAGCGGCCAAGATCTACTCCATGGGGGGGAGAGGGGGTGGGCGGGGGCCCACGCCGATCGGCAAGACGAGGAATGAAAAAACTATCACCTTCGAATCGGAGATGGTTCCCGCAGACCAAAAACACAGAAGACGTATCGGCCCCAGGACGACCGAGCACCAGAAGCACATGAAGCCTGCAAAACACCCTGGCCTCGGAGAACCTCGGAACGACCCGAGGTCCTGGGAGCATTCGACGTTCTGCTGGGGCGGCTCGACGCGAGCGGGCCGAGCGCAGCTCGGCTTCGGCCGTGGGACACGTCACTTGGGCTCTGGACCCCACACTTGGCAATAAAAGAGGCGCGCGCCTGGGAGCAGTCGACTGATCACAGATAATCGGGCGGACATCGACTGGCCCCGGTCAATCCAGATCCAGGTCGGTCAGGCTCTGCAGGACCCTGCGGGATCCTGCGGGATCCTGCACCCAGGCCCGGGGCAGTGCAACCCCGGCCCTGCAGGATCCAGCAAGACCCGGCGCTCCGACTGACCCCCGTTTGCACTGACCCCCGTCTCTCGAGCCCCGAACGAGCAAGGGGAACGACAAGAAACCGAGGGGCTGCATACAGTAGGAGCTCGACCACAAGAAACCTCCCACGAGAAGCCCAACCCTGAGACCCCAGGACGTCCATTGCTTTTTGGAGTGGGAACGCCACGCATTCCACACCAACAAACCATCGAAACCCAAGAAACCCAGGGCAGCCTGGTGAGCGGTTTCTTATTCAGCGTTGCGACATTGGGCGGAAGGGGGGGGAGGGGGGTTCTGGCTCTGGACCTCTGCTCAGTGCGACTGTTTGCAGCAGTGCGTCCGATGGGGAGAGGAGACTCCACCTGCTCGAAACAGAAGCCAAAAACAGCCAAGATCTGCTCCATGGGGGGGTGGGGAGTGGCGGGGGGCGGGGGCACGCGCCGATCGGCAAAACAACGAATTCGCCGGCCCAACGGGCCAGAGGCGTGCTAAGATCTCCGGTAACTTGTTAACAATATTTCTTGTTCGCGCGCGCGGAGCGGCCCCTGGGGGCCCCCGGACGAAAAGTACCCCGGCAAGGTCCCGAGAGAAGCCCGGGAGAAGCCACCAGACCACTCCAGGGGAGGGTATTTTTCGACACCCCTCACGAGGATCGTGGCCTCCGAGGGGGGAGCCGCAATCGACTACCCCCAAGAGCCCCCCAAGAGGCCCTGGGGGCCTCCAAAACGCCGCCAAGGAGCCCCAAGAGACTCCCAAGAGGTCCCCAAGAGGCCCCCAAGAGGCCCTAAAGAGGGCTCCAGGGCCGGCGGCATGAGCGAAGCGATTAAATAAAAGCACAACCACCTGGAGGCAAGCAGGGCATTTCTTGGCAAGGGTGTCCACTGGTAGAGGTGCACACTCTCGTGCACCTTGCAGGCCCCTGCCCTGCAGCCTCCCCCCTCCATCCTCCTCCTCCTCCTCCTCCTCCTCCTCCTCCTCCTCCTCCTCCTCCTCCTCCTCTTCTTCCCTTCTTTCCTGGGGGAGGGAGGGGATGAGGGAAGTGGTGATGGTGTATATTTTTGGGCCCCGTACATTCGGCGCCCCCTCTCATCACGACGCGCCCGGGCGGTTGGCTTCTGCCTCGTTCTGTCTTCGCTCCGCCGCTGCCGCAAAACGAGCTCAAAACCAAAACGACCCACGAGATCGCAACAAATCACCGTTGGGCCCACGCCCTGCAACTGTGCACATGCACCGATCCTGGCCGGGACCAGCCCGGGCCTGACTAGTATGGATGCCTACGCCCTGCTGGGTTGGTCAGGGCAGCATCGTACACACGTGTGCGTATATGTGGAGGTATACAGAATGACCGCCACCGCGCTTGCATCGGTTGGTGTGTGTGTGCGCGTGTGCGCGTGTGCGCGTGTGCGCGTGTGTGCGTGTGTGCGTGTGTGTGTGTGTGTGTGTGTGCGTGTGTGCGTGTCTGTGTGTGTGTGTCTGTGCGTGTGTGCGCGTGTGTGTGTGTGTGTGTGTGTGTGTCTCTCTCTGTGTGTGTGTGTGTGTGTCGGGCCCCCTCGCTCACTGCAAAAGCAATAGTTGGGGCCCCCGAAGCATCGAGCCCAGGACGCGTTTATTGTGATGACCGAGTCCCTGCGATTCTGCCTTCCAGGCAGAAGTTGTGATCAAATGCGTGCGAGGTCTGGGGAGGGACGTTCCATGGATCGTCCCCCCTCCCTGGCGCCCGCCCCCCTTCCCGCCTCCCTGCCCGCCCTGGGCGCCCGCCCGAGCGCGGAGGCGGAATCGCGCGACAGCGCATACACAGACACACACACACACATGTGCGTGTATATGTATATATATACATATATATATGGTTATGTCGGTATGTACGTACATTCACCTCTATACGTGCACATTTGTCTACATATGTACACATGCAATTACAAGTGTATATACTTCGATGTGTCACGCCATATGTATATCCTAAGATATGTGTACACGTATATACACACAGCATATCGATGCACATATACATAGACGTTCAATTCTAACTACCTATATACATATGGTTATGTCTTTCTATGTATCCGCACATACATATGTATAGGTACATACATATATATATATATGCATGTATACGTACATCTCGACCTATATGTACACACATGCTATATATACACATATCTATACATAGCCATCGATAGAAACATATATACACATGTGCATGACGTGCTGGAAGAAAGCAGCTATGCACATGAACAGATCCTGGCCAAGCCCACCCTGGGCCTACTATAGAGGCCTCCCAGACGGGTCCGAGTAGATGGCGTCGGGGGATCGCGCCGCATCGCCGATGCATCACCTATATCGCCGATGCATCACCGATGCATCGATAATACATCGGCGATGCATCGGCAACGTCGGCGCTGCATCGGCGACGTCGGCGTGGAGGAAGTCGGGCCCCGCATCGCGCCGCGTCGGCGGTGCATCAGCGACGCGGCGCAATCCTCCGACCCCATCTATGGACCTCACCCAGGAGGCCTAGAACATGCACAGATCCTGGCCCAGTGGGCATAGTGTCTGCGCCCTACTAGCTTGGCCAGGGAACCCTACGTACAACTGTCGTGGGCGCGTGACCCTGGCGTGGCCTGGATCGGTGTATGAGTAGTAGAGCTCTCTTTACTCCTCCCGCTCGCGCCTCCCGCCTGGAGGAACAGACTATAGAGGCATCCTGGATGGGGTCCGAGTGCATGGCGTAGGAGAATCGGACCGCATCGTCGATGCATCGCCGATGCATCAACGATGCATCGACGATTCATCGGCAACGTCGGAAATGCAGCAACGACGTCGGTGTGGAGAAAATCGTGCTCCGCATCGAGCCGCATCGCCGATGCATTGGCGATGCGGGGCCATTCTTCGACCCCGTCTACTCCGACCCCATCTGAAAGGTCTTGAAGAACAGACTACTACTTAACCATAAACTTTCGAAGGCCCTGGTGGATTTCTTGGATCGACGCTGAATCCTTCTCCATGGCGCGTGTACCGTGCCAAGGGCGCTGGAGGCACCGCCGAGGGGGTTCAACGCATGTTCAAAAGATCCGCCCTACGCTGAGCCGAGCTTCCTTCTCTGAACCGCCGGCGCCCGCGCCCGCCCCAGTGCTGAAGGGAAACGATAGGGGGCGGCCTGGCATCTGGGATTAGGTCGGGCGTGTCCCCCTACAGGCGGATTTGGACGAAACAAACACAACCTTACAAATGCTAAAACGACATAATAAAAACAGAAAATTCAAAAACTCGTCCCCAGACTATTTTTTGACAATTGTTCGATTTTCCTTCTGCAGAGGGACTGGCCCGACTAAATCTGGGGGGGGGAAACATCGACCTGAAACCTCCGATGTCATGATTTTCTCAATGCGGGGTCCCCGGAAATCTCGACCGATTCCACAGGACCAGTACTGCATCCTGGGTCGTTCTTTGACGGTCCTGGGGCCCGGCGAGGGCCTCCGAAGGCCAGAAACGGCGAAAAACCTCCGTCTTGACTCCTTCAAGGCGTTGGTCTTCTCGGGAGGCTCCTGGCCCGGGGAACCGGCGATGCCTCGCCGATGGATCGGCGGAGAGGCCCCCGGCAGCGAGCCCGCACCCTCCTGGGCGGGGCGGGGCCGCCGGGGCCCCACTCTCGGCGATCGGGGGGCGATGGGGGGCCGAGGCGCGGAGGGGGAGGCGGAGGAGGAGGCGGAGGAGGAGGGGGAGGAGGGGGAGGAGGGGGAGGAGGGGGAGGAGGAGGAGGAGGAGGGGGAGGGGGAGGAGGAGGAGGAGGAGGAGGAGGAGGAGGAGGAGGAGGAAGGAGGAGGAGGAGGAGGAGGAGGAGGGCGATCGGGGGCCCATGCGCCCCCCCCCCCTCTTCGGAAAATGCCTGTCCTCCGCCCTATCGTTGCCTCTCCGGCGTGCGCCTCGGCCTCGCCAGTGCCCAGGAACTTGGTCACGAGCGTCGGGCTGCTGACGTTGCGGGAGCTGCCTGGACTGGCTACCTACCAGACCACCCCAACCCACCCCGAAGACCCGAAATTCGGGTTGGGGGGGGTGTACGAGCTTCACGTGTGTTTTTTCAGTGTTCCCCGTCCACCCCCCCCCCACTGGAAATGGAGGACAAGACGGAACCTTCGGGTTGGGTTGGGATGATTTGGTGGGCGGTGATGGACGGACGAGGGGGCGGGGGCGATGCAGGGGCCCCCCCTTGCCCTCCCTGGGCAAAGGTCGACAAGCCGCAGGGGCCAACAAGCGTCCTCCCGCGTGGCAGGGTCCCTCCGTCCCGCTCATCCTCCCGTGCTCCCTTCCTTTCCCTTTTTTGTGGACGGAGCACGGGAGGAGATCACCCCGCACCGCAGGGCGTGGGGGGAGACGATGCACAAGCGGAATGCACTCCACACAAGCAAACCAACAATGCTGAAATATTGCATGCTTGAGGCAATCCACCAAGGCTGCAACTACATTGCCGACAGCTGCTGGCCCAGCTCCTGGCAGACCAACCCTGCCCCCCTACGGACAACAAACGAACAAACACTCTACTCCACTGGATTCGACACGTGACAAAAACGACAAATAGTCGTACACACGTTCGACTCCAAGGGGAGCGGAGGGGGAGGAGGAGAAAACGAAAGAGGAAAAACACCAGGAACAGCACAAGCAGAAAGCAGCGAGGCAGACATCCTGCCAGCTCTGGTGAAGGGGGCAGCGGGACGACGCTATGTGGACACCCCGGAGGCCGAGACGGCCCCAAACAAGAATCCAGCACAACATCAACGAGGGAAAAGCGAAGACGAGGAGGAGCAGGAACACTGAATGATACAAAGAAGGCCTGGACCCGTATCATAGCGAAGTGGGCGCGGCAGCCCGAAATATCAAGAACGCAAGCGACTGCAAACCCAAGAGCAACTCGTATGGTTGACCGGCGACAGCCGGGAGAGCCAGAGGAGCGAGGTACAAGCGAGCGGGAGGCGACCTGAACGGCCGCCGCGGGAAGTCAGAAACCGCCGGCGGCGGGGAGGGAGGGACGGAGGGGAGGGCGAGGGGCAAAAAGGGTGGAGGGGAGCGAGAGGAGAGGGAAAGGAACAATGCCACATCGCTCAGGACGCGCCTCGGGTTCGCTTGAACGCCCGGCGCACGAATGCACGCGACTCGTGGCGCAGCTCTGGGGCCTGCCGCACGCATCCGCGGAGAAGTTCTAAAGCTATGTTCTGTTTGTTCGTCTCCCCCCACTTCCCATACTTTCCCATAGTTTCCTTGGGGTCGACGATTCATTGTGTCTCTGTGTGTTCCTCCCCCTGCCGAAGTTGCTGCTGGTCTCTGTGCCCCTTCTTCCCGTGCCGTTTTCAATCGCGCTGGGCCCCCCTCTTGTCGGGAAGTCTAAGCTGTACTTGACTCGGCGGCGAGCGAAGGGGGGAAGTGAGAAGGAGAAGGCCTTCTCAGAGGGTTCGGCGGTCCCCCAGCCTCCTGAGAAGCTTGCCGAGCCTTCCCCGAAGACAGACAACAAAATCTTATCGGGAGGCGCGAGGGCGTCTGAGATGCCCCGCCGCCTTCTGAGGCCTCCTCCTTCTCATTTCCTCCTCCTCCTCCTCCTCCTCTTCCTCCCCCTCCCTCCTCCCTCCCCTCCTCCTCCTCCTCCTCCTCCTCCTCCTCCCCCTCCCCCTCCCCCTCCTCCTCCTCCCCCTCCCCCTCCTCCTCCTCCTCCTCCTCCTGCTTCTGAGGAGCCCCTTCCCTGCCTCGAAACTCCCCCCGCTTCCTCAAGGAGACCGCCGCCCGCCCCTGCCACCTCCCTGGGGCCGCCTTCTGCCGCCGACCGACCGCAGGCGCCCCCCACTTCTCACGCCGCTCGGATGCCCCTGGGGCCTGGGCCTCTCGGCGGTGGACAAACCTTGGAGGCCTGGAAATGAGCACCAGCACCAACACAAGGGGTTTTCCTCCACACGGGGGAGAGGATCCTCGATGCCGGTGCTGGTGGCAATATTTCGGTCACCTCGAAGCCAGAATATTACCACCATCACCGAGATCGGGATCGTCTTCCCTCGGTGGAGGCACACCGCTGGTCGTGGTGTTGGTCTCAACCTCTAGGCCTGCGAAAGCCTCCCTTTAGTAGACCTCCCTCTCGTGAAAACGGCCCAAGACCGAAGCCGACGGACCCGGACCCGCAAGAATGACGGCCGCGACGCCCTCTCGCGAACCGAAAACGGCCAATCCGCTAATCCATGTGTCATGGTAGGAGGTCTAACCATCAACCTCCGAGCCTCGTGCCTGGCGCCCTGGACACGGGAACAGACCACGGCATCAGCATGACTCCCAGGAGTTCTTGCAGATTCCTGGGGTCGGCGGTAGGCCTGAGTGTCGTCCAACCAGTCCCCATGCCCGCGGCGTGGCCTGGGCCTCACTGGCCGGTTTGCCCCCCTAGGTGGGGATATAGGTCGTTCCCTTCGGGTTTCGAGGGGTGCATCCCAAACTGGGGTGGTAATTTGGTGGTCTCGACGGGGATGGGGATGGAGATGGGGATTGGTTGAACCATACCGAAGCCCCCCCCCTCCCTGGCGCGCGGAGCGCGCCAGGGGCAGCGCCGGAGGCGCCGCCAGGAGAGCCCAAGGCCGACCCAAGGAATGCTACGACTGGAAGCCACCTGTGGCTCCCAGGAGAAGACCCGGACCCCCGACGTCACGATCTCTCCATGGCGTGGCTCCCTGGAGGGCTCCACCCGCTTCCCGGGAGCGGCGCTTCGCCCTGAGGCGTTTCCTGACGGGCCCGGGGCATCCAGCGAGGGCCCCCCGATGCCACAAGTTGCCAAAACACCTCTCGTCGTGTCTTTTTCGGAGCGCGCAAACATGGATTAGCAATCCGTGGATTTGGCGCGCGGTCGCCAAATCCATGGATTGGAGGAGGTGCCCTCCCCAAAATGCGGCCGGTGCCGCCTCGCTCGGCGGCAATGATCCGCGATTTCCCATAGAAACGGCACCCGTCGCTAATCCACGCCCCTTGATCCATGGTTGCGATCGCCTGACTTTTTCATGCCCCGAGGGGGTCTGGGGCTCAGGGACGAGGGGCAGCGATAGGGGGGACAGGCATAGGGGGGGAGGCATCGACCTGGATTCGGCGACACCCCGTCGATAGATCGGCGATAGTCTGGACGGGGAGGGGCTATCGGGTCCCTATCGGCGATCAATGAGCGATTGGGGGTGGATGCGTCCCCCCATATGCCTATCCCCCTATCGTTGCCCCGAGGGGACGGGCCGGGGCCACCCTGTGCCAGGACCACCCTGCAGCCAGCTCCTCAGCCCTGAGGGCCCGCGATGGTGAAACCAACAGGCAATTGCCGACACCGCTTCTCCCTGGACCTCTCCCGGGGGGCGCTCCGACCTGCATTTCGAAGCGACTCCGGCGGTGGCGGCGAGGGCCTGCCAGGAGGGCCGACAAAGGGAGCAGTCTCTGTGGACGTTTTCCTCCTCTGAGCGAAGGCCCGCGAGGGCGCCGACTAGAATTTCGAGGCGAATCCGGCGGTGGCCGCGAGGGCCTCCCGGGAGACCAACAAGAAGAGAAAACGAGGGCATGGGAGCGGTACTTGCGTAATAGTCGTCGACGTCGCAGCAGTCGTAGTAGCAGCAATGGGAATCGTAATCGCAGTATTGATAGTACAGTGGAGGCCAGCCCACATGAAACCTGCCACAAGAAACCTAACCCTGAGACCCCAGGACGTGCATGGACTTTTGGTGTGGGAACGTCACGCGCTCCATGGCAAAACCGTCGAAAGCCAAGAAACCCAGGGCACCCTGGAGGCAAGCAGGGTGCTTCTTGGCATGGGCCTCCACTGCAGTAGCCGTTGTCGCAGTCGCAGCCGTAGGTTTCTCCTCCGAACGAGGGCCCGCGAGGGGGCCGCTCCCCCCGCCAGCCTCGAAGGCCCCCGCGAGCCCCACCCGCGCGGGCCTAGGCCACAGGCGGGCCCGTAGCCCCAGCTGTAGAGCCGCCCGGAGCGGGACACCTGGCCCGAGGCCCGCGGCGGGGAGCGGCAGGGGAGCCAGCCCGGCGCGGGCGCGGGCTGGAAGATCGGGAGGGGGCCGAGAGTGACCAACCACCAGACCACCCTGACCCAGCCCGGAGGTCCGAACTTCGCCCGAACTTCGAGTTGGGGGAGGGGGGGGTGCGGGCTCCCGATGCGGTTTTTGTCAACGTTCCCCGACCCCCCCCCCCCACTGGAAATGGAGGGCAAATTGGGGCCTTCGGGTTGGGATGGGGTGGCATGGTGGGCGGCGAGAGAGGGGGGCGCAGGCGGGGCAGTGGGCCCCCCTCCCCTCTGGGCTCCTGCAGACTTACTTGAGCCAACGTGTGTCACAATCGGCTCCCCTCTGAGAATGCAGGCATTGTCCCCTGGAGGGGGGCAGGAGGGGCAGTGTGACCACCTCCCCTCTGGGCTTTACAGACCTGAGCCAACGTATGGCACAACGGGCTCCTTTTGAGAATGCGGGTACTCTCCCTCTGAACCCTATGGAGCCTCAAAGGGTAGAAGGCAATGGAGATGTAAGACACCCAAGATCGGACCGACAAACCGGATCGGCGATCAAAATTTCGGTCAACCCGCGTAATAAGGACGGACGATGAGGATGCCAAGGGCCTCGGAAGGCCATGTCGACACTTTGCGAGCGGGGCGGGGCCAGCGAGAGCGGCCAAGGATGGGCCGAAGGGGAATGATGCAGGGGTACAGTCAAACTCGTAGAAACAGGACGCACGATGAGGATGCCAAGGGCCTCGGAAGGCCATGTCCACACTTTGCGAGCGGGGCGGGGCCAGCGAGAGCGGCCAAGGATGGGCAGAAGGGGAAGGATGCAGGGGTACAGTCAAACTCGTAGAAACAGGACGCGCGATGAGGATGCCAAGGGCCTCGGAAGGCCATGTCCACACTCTGCGAGCGGGGCGCGGACAGCGAGAGCGGCCAAGGATGGGCCGACGGGGAAGGATGCAGGGGTAACCTTGGAACGTCACTCATCCTTACCATGCGGATTGATTGCAAAACGAAGGATTGCAAAAAAAACCTTCGGATTGGATGGTTTTTTTGCAATCCTTCGGATTGGATGGTTTTTTTTGCAATCCTTCCTTTTTGCAAACCTTGGGAAAACGCTCCTCCTCACGATGCGGATCGACTGCCATCGGATCGGTGGAAGCCGGCGGCCAAAGTCGGGAAAAAAGGCGAATCGGCGAGAGCACCGGCAGGCCGGGGAGGCCTGCACTGAGGAGCCGAACATCCAAATCGGAATCCGCGGCCGAGTCGAATCGGAATCGGCATCGGTGCACGCATCGAAACGAAGCGAGTCGGAGGAGTCGAACTGGACCCTGGGCGTGGGGCGGCATGGAACCGAGCGCCTTCCAAGGGGGCGCGCTCCTCACCAGAGCATCTCAGCAAGAGCTGAAGCGCGAATCGGGGGTGGCAAGGTGGAGCCGGGACGGGGGCTCCTGGAGCACCAGCTCCCTGTGGTGGAGAGCACTTCCTCACTCGCGGCGATAACGGGCGTTCTGGGGGGGGGGGGGGAGGGACGGGGGTGGGGGGGGGGCAGAACGCAACGCCCGCGCCCTCCCTCCCCCGTGACCGACTGTGGTGCTGGACCCTCTGCGGCAGTGCTGGGGACGCACTGGGAGACGCGCCACGTTGTTCGGTGGCGCCGGGAGAGGGGGGGGGGGAGGGGGGGGGAGAGGCTTAACATAGGATTAAGTCGGGCATGTCCCCCCACACAAGCGGGTTCTCGACGAAAAATGAGAAGTACCCGAAACAGTCGGACACTGTGAACAGAAATCGGCCCCAGGCCATTTTACCACTAATTATCTCCGAATTCGCCTCCTGTAGAAGGGGCAGTCCCGACCTACGCAGAGGAGCGCGCAGAGGCGACACCGACACCACCAGGGCGGGGAGGCGCGAGGAGCAGGCGGGCTCCCCCCCGAGGCGGCGTGGGCCCCCCCGAAAACCCTCGCTGGAGAGACCTGCCCCCGGGGCCTCCCGCCCGGGGAGGCACCGTGGACCTCTCCTCGCTCTGTGCTGCTCCCATCGTACTTTGGGAACACATCCCAGAAATGATTTCGAGCACCTGGAAACGTGTCGAAACAGTGTCGAACCAGTGTCGGGCGACTGTCCCCCAGGGCCCGGCACGTGAAGGCCATCGAGTTTCGGTACTGTTTCTGGTGTTCGACATCCTTTCTGGTGAACAAGGCTAAAGCAGGTTGGACAATCATAATCCTCGCTGGAGATTTGCCACCCCCGGGTGGTGCTGGCTGGACGAGAGAAACACGTCACAAACAAAAACGTCCGCACGGGGCGCCAACAATTTATGTCTATGCCGTGTTGTCGTCTTCGATGTGCGCCGCTTACCCTCACTCCGACAAAAAAAAACGCCGTAAACATAGACCATGGGGCTCCGCGCGGATTTCTTGGGTCTGCGCTGGGCCGCGGTGCCAGAGGCGCCGCCGGGAGGTCCCAGCGCGAATCCAAGAATCCGCGCGGAGCGCAAAACATTGATGCTTATGCAGCTTCGTCTTCTTCGATTGGTGTCGCTTCTCCTCCCTCCGAATAACAACACTCTCGTGGGACGGAGAGCGGGGAGAAGGAGGAGGATGAGGAGGAAGAGGAGGAGGAGGAGGAGAGGGAGGAGGAAGAGGAGGACGATGAGGAGGAGGAGGGGAAGGGGGAGGGGGAGGGGGGAGGAGGAGGAGAGGAGAGGAGGAGGGAGGAGGAGGAGGAGGAGGAGGAGGAAGAGAGAGGGAGGAGGGACGAGAAGGAGGGAGAGGAGGAGGAGCAGGAGGAGGAGCAGGAGGAGGAGGAGGAGGAGGAGGAGGAGGAGGAGGCAGGCGGACCGAGCAACACTCTCGTGGGGCGGAGACCAGGAAAGGGGGTAGAGCAAGGGCACCGGGCGCCGAGAAGCGGCTCTCGGAGACCGGAGCAGCGCGGCGCAGCCCCCTCGGACTAAGAATGAGGAATCCGGAGGGGCCCCGGGGCCCTGCTCCGCGCGCGGGCAGGTCGAGGGGCACTGCGCGAGGCCTGGGCCACCCCGTTCAGGAGAGGCAGGAGTAGAGACAAAAGTACCACTGCCACCCCGCCCTCCCTGCCCTCGAGCTGGTGGCACCTCCTTCCGGGAACTCTATGGAGGCATGCCCGGAACGAGGTGCCACCAGCTCGAGAGGGTAGGACAGCCACCCCCCTAGCTGGTGGTAGTGGTACTTTCGTCTCTGGTGATCCGTGGCCGCCCGTCACGAGGCGAGGCCAGGATGGGCACGGCAGGTTCGCGTCGTGTCGACTCCGGCGTTGGTTCCTGACACCGCGGGGATCGTTCAAGCTTGAACGATCGGCCCTGTCAAAAAGGCCAGACCGTTCAGAGATGGGCCGATTCTAGGCCACAGGCGGCGTTCAACCCTGAACGCCCGCGCTGGGATCGCCGCCGGTCGAAACGACGCGAATCTGCCGCACACACTCGGATGAGGATATTGGAGGCTTGGAAATGGGCACTAAGACCAATACAGGGGGTTGCCTCCACCGGGGGAAAATGATCCTAGACGTTGGTGCTGGTGGTAATGTCTCGGTCACCTAGGAAGCCCGACTGTTACCACCATTGCCGAAATCGGGATCATCTTCCTTCGGTGGAGGCACACCACCGATATCGGTGCTGGTGTCAGCTCTTAGGCCTCCGAGGATGCATCGGGAATTCGGGAATCTCTGAGTTCGGGCGGTCTGGAAGATGTCTCGGGCGCCGCGGCCCTCTCAGAGCGCGCCGGGAAACGCTTCGAAAGCGTCCCTGAGCGCTCTGCTCTCGAGCGGATCGATTCGCACCCGAGCCCCGCCCGAGATCAGGAGGGGCACGCGCAGAACCGCTCCGTGGCCGTCCGTGGCGCAGACGGCCAGCCATCGCGCTCGGTGTGCCCAATTGGCTTGGGACGCACGCCCACGAGCTGCGAGTGTGCGACCATCTGTCCTTGCGGCCCCTCCCTTCCCCTGTCCTTCCCTCCCCTTTCCTCCCCTCCCCCCCCTCTCTTTGCTCAGTGCAAGCGAACGTGGATCTGTATCATGTTTCACATGTTTGACGAGCGTGCCGACGTGCACAAATCGTCTTGCCTATGCGCCCGCCGGGGTGCACGGCCTGTGACTAGCTACCGGGTTGGGCCGCTCAGTTGCCAGGTCTGGCGCACGCAACCAGCGGCGCGCTCAATGCGTCTCGTCAGGTCAGTCGGGGAGACCCCCCCCCGTGTTTTGGCGGTGCGCACAAGGGGGTGGAGGGAGGGGGGAGGGCTTCTTTGAAAGAGGCTGTTTCTCAGAAGGCGCCCGCCTTACATCTATGGACAAGGCCCGCGCCTTCTAGAACGCAGGGGTGCTTCTAAGAAGCCCTCCCCCCTCCCCCCACCCCCCTCTGCGCGTGGCTGAGTGTTGGCAGTGGGTCTGCAGGACTTGGTGCCGTTCACTGGTGTTTGGCTTCAGCCGCCCGCGCCGGCATCGGCCTGCCGTCGCGTTTCTTCAGTGCGCCTGCGCGCGCGGCTGTTTCGGTCGGGCAGCGACGGGCGCACCGAGGAGCGGAATGCGCTTCCCATCCACCCACCCCGCGATTGTATGGGCCGATCCCCTGCTGTGCGTTCTTCATTTCGGACCCGCTTGCCAAGGCGATGCCGGCACGCACTGCGTGGAAGGAATACGGGGTTGTTGGTGATATCAAGCCCGCCTCCCGCTGCATGCGGCCCAGTAGATTTCCGGTTGCCGCCTCCATGCTGGGGTGAACTCATATCATCAGACAGCCGATGGAAGGACTGATAGGGGGGAAGAGAGGGAGAAGAGGACGGACGGGCGAAGAGGAGATAGAGGAAGGAAAGACGCCGAAAACAATACACTGTTGGCCCTCCGCTCGGATCTCTTGGCTCCGCGCTGGACCCCTGGCGCGCGGAGCGCGCCGGGGGCGGCGCCGGAGGCGCCGCCGGGAGGGGCCTCAGCGCGGATCCGAGACATCCGCGCGGAGCGCCCAGAAGCTTCACGCGCATGGCGTCTCTCTGCTCCGATCCTGCGCCGTCCGCGGCGCTCCGCGTGGAGCGCCGCCGCCGGGGCCTCGCCGCCGCTCGACGCGGCCGCCGAGAGAGGGCTGTGCGCCGGCCCCGGGCCGGGCCGGGGGGTCCTGGGCTCGGCTCGCCCTCTGGGCCCGGGGTCGGCCTGGCTCGGGCAGGAAGGCGTGCACATTTACGACAGGGGGCCAGTCCACAAGAAACCTTCTGCAAGAGACCCCACCCTGAGACCCCACGACGTCCACTGATGTTTGGTGTGGGAACGTCGCGCCTTCCATCGCAAAGTCATCGAAAACCCAGAAACCCAGGGCACCCTGGAGGCGAGCAGGGTGTTTCTTGGTATGGGTCTCCACCGTGCACGTAGGTCGGAAGAAGTGGGCGAAAACCCGGAGCAGGAAGGCGGATGAAAAGTAGATTGGGGGCTCAGGCCCTCCCGGAGAGTATAGCAGAACGCAGCAGACGCCGATCGATTCTTGAAGCAGGAAGGCGCTTGAAGAAGATTGGGATATCGGAATCCAAGAACACCTGCTTTGGTGGCGAACGAGGGGGGTACATGAGACGCAGAAGGCCTTCTCAGAAGGCTCGGAATTTCCCTGGCCTTCTGAGAAGTTGTCTGAGCCGTCCCTGGAGACAAACAAAGCTTCTCTGAAGGCGCGAGGGACTCTGACAAGTCCCCCCACCGCCTTCTGAGAATGCCTTCTCCTTCTCACTTCCCCCCGCTCGCTCGCCGCCGATACTTTCAACGAACGGCGCGTACACCGAGCCTGGGCCGCGAATCGGCAGGCCAGGATCGGCGTAGGCGTACATGGTGGGGAGGAGGAGGAGTGGAGTGGAGGAGGAGGAGGACGAGGAGAAGGAGGAGGAGGAGGAGGAGGAGGAGGACGAGGAGGAGGGGCTCTCTCCGGGGGGAGGGCAGTGCCACTTTTCGCCCGCGATGCGCGCGCGGAGGAAGCGTCGCGAGAGCCGCGCGGCTCTGCCCACGCAATAAGTGCGGCGCTGCTGCAGCAGCGACGAGTAGGCGGCACGGGCGGGTGCCGAGAGCAGCGGCGAGGAGGAGGTGCGAGGAGGCGGGAGGCAACTCCTCGCGTACAGCGGGGGCCCGACCACAGGAAACCTTCCAGAGGGAACCCAACCCTGAGACCCCAGGACGTCCACTGAATTTGGGAGCGGGAGCGTCTCGCCTTCCATAGCAAAGCCATCGAAACCCAAGAACTCCAGGGCACCCTGGGTGCAAGCAGGGTGTTTCTTGGCATGGGTTTCCACTGCAACATAAGCTCATCATACCCATGTTGGACCCAGGCTGTCCTGTCGCGCCGTGTTCCGCGACGTAGTCGCATCGAATGCATATCGAATTTACTTCGACCGTCGAGTCCGAATCGAACCCGTAGTACTATCGATTTCACGTCAGGTCCACGTCGAATCTGCGTCGACTCCACGTGGAGCCCGCATCGGACAGAAGGAAACAAATCAATTCACAGGACGGACGAGCTCTCCAACTGATGCAACGTGAAGCGTAGTTTAGGAGGCAACTGGCGGGTAGTCTTGCAAAAACGATGAACAACGATTCAGCCTGGCAAAGGGGCCACCGGGCTGGAGCAGCACGGACACAGCCCAATATGAAGCCGGATTGAGGTAGACCAGCTTGAATTACGCGGGACTATCTGGCATGGGCCGCTTTTGACCACGAATCTGCAAGCACCGATGCTGAAAAGGAATCCCGAGAATTGCTGCATCCTAACGTGTCGTAATACTGTTCACTACGGTTCCAATGTCAAAGTCTCGCTACTGCCGTCTCTCTTTTGTGCTGGGTTGCGGTGGGTTATACGTGGTTGCGCGGCGCTATAAGGCTCTCACTAACTGACCTTCAACATGGTGTAACCAACATTTGGTGAGCATAACTTCAAAATGTGGCACGTCATGCTTTATCAACACACACAGCAACACCTAGAACTTGTAGTTTTCATGCACGATGATATATGTAATACTAACTACTAATACCAGGTTCCATCGGGAGCTTATGACAACGTGTGGAAGTTGCTGGAATAATTTCGAACAACATATTAGCAATTGTAGACGTCACGATGGAACTTACGAGTAACGTATGGCAACTCAATGCATGCCATATGGGAACGTATGGCAATACATACGTGTGTCGCGCGTTTGAGGAATGTCGGCATGTTTATGTTCGGCTGCAGTCAACCCAGTTTCGCAAGTTGCCGATCATACCTTGCCTTGGCTCACGCATTGCTTTGCGAACAGACATGAATCATGTGTTTGATCCATTCTTCGCAGCAACGAAAGGACGCGTGGCACGCGCATCGCAGCAAGATAATCCCGGGGGCCGACAGCGGGCACCATGGGCCAAAATCAAAAAACAACAATTACGCCTGGACTGAACAGCACCCGGCATGGCGATACCGATTCTGATCGATCGGAACGAGTGGGACCTGGGAGGTCGAAGACGGCAACACCCATGAGGACCCGCTTCCACCAAGACCCGTGGCACTGGAGGAACGGAAGATCGTGCCGCATCGCAAATGCATCGTCGATGCATCGCTGATGCGTCGGCGATGCCGGCAATGCATCGGTGCAACCCACCTTCTCATAAACATAATTTTCGGAGGGTCGCGCGGATTTCTCGGATCGGCGATGAACCCCCCTCGAGCGCGCCAGAGACAGCGCCTGAGGCGACGCCAGGGGAGCCCAGCGCCAATCCAAGAAATCCGCGCTGAACTCCGAAAATGTACGCTTTTGCCGTTCTCTCGGCATCGATTCTCGGACCAAGAGATACCGATACCGCTACTCCCTGTACCTCTGCTGAGGTTCGTTCTGGCCAGAATGTCGAGGCGAATCCGGCGGTGGCGGCGAAGGCCTCCCAGGAGGCCCTCAAAGGGGAACACGA